ACACACACACACACACACACACACACACACACACACACACACACACACGTACGTTTACACACAAATATTAAAAGGCCCCGGAAATATATATATATATATATATATATATATATATATATTTTTCCATTCCAAATATACACAAAAGAAAAAAAAAGAAACGTAAAAAAGAAGAATACAAAGAACTGCAAACCAAAAATCCCTCCCCCCCAAAATAACTTTTTTTTAATTTTGTTTTGAATTTCTCTTCTCCACCTTTTCTGTTTTTTATTTTTTATAATTTTAAAAACTTATTTTTTTCAAAAAATAAAATATGGGGTTGTAGGGATGAAAAATCCCTACAACCCCATTTATTTTTATTTTTTTAACCGATTATTTAATTCAGAAAAAATATGGTAAATTCGCGTCCGCGGCGCGGATTTGGTTGGCCGCGGACGCGACCGTATACGGCCGCCATCCGAGCTGGACCCCGCGGACGCGTCCGAGGGTGTTTCATAGATGGTAGCCGGACTTTAAGTCTATCTTGCTGTAGTACTATGCGAGGTAGAGACTCTGCATTCTTCACTGTGATGGCATTGAGGCCTCTGTGATCAATGCACATCCTCAACGATCCCCCTTTCTTCGGTACAAACAGCACTGGAGATCCGAAGGGGGAAGTACTCGGCCGTATCCAACCCTTTTCTATCAGCTCTTTCAGTTGTCGTCGGAGTTCGTCCAACTCGGCCGGAGCCATCCTATAGATCCTTCCCTTTGGGGTTTTACTCCCTGGAATTATTTCTATGGCATGGACAATCTCCCTCTCTACGACTCTTGTAGGCTCCTTGAACAGATCAGGGAACTTAGCAACGACGTGCTCTATCTCTGGGGGTGTTATAACGGCCTCCCCTTTCTCAAAGACATACACTAGGTACATACCCTCCTCTTGGTTCTGTTTATAGTAATTGTAGAACGCTGATGCGCACAAGCAGCCATAGGATTTTAGGAATCTACTAGCCTTATACTTGACCAGTCTCACGGTCCTTCCATCCGACAACTTATGCTTTAGCACCTTCTTGTGCCAGTCAAACTGGGGCTTGACAACCTCAAGGTAGTACATTCCTAACGACATATCAAAAGGTACGTCGTCGCTCATCAGGAACGAAATTTTGTGATTAAGTTCCCCTCCTCCATAGGAGAAGGTACAGACTACATCCTTGACATAGTCTCTGACTACCATGCGCTCCTTATTGGCCAAAGTAGATGCTATCGGTCTACTAAGGTTCTGTACCCGGTCCTCTAGGTGCAGCCTTTCCAAACAGTCGCGACTTATATAATTCCGCGTGGAGCCGATGTCTACGAAGGCACCACATTTGCGGCCTCCTACAACAACTTCCACGACGAAATATTCCCCTCTAGGACCTCTACTTAGTGCCACGCAAGATTCACGAAGGTCCCTGCTTGACCACTCACTTTCTAAATCTTCTAAGGCCTCAGACACATCCAACGTACAGAATATAGTTTGGTCTAGATGAGTTTGCATGGTGACTAAAGAGTCGTTAGATGTGGCCATCTCATGAAGTGGGGAGGGTATCTGGCCCACTTCACCATGGGTAGAAGCAGCTAAAACTTCCACCGGCCTCACGTGTTTCCCGAGCTGGAAGCTTGGGAAGAAGGCACCCCTCCCTTAGGGGGTATCTTCTGCGTGACCTTTGCGTTCTTAGCATTCTTGCACTTGTACTGGGTGTGTCCGTATTCACCACAATTTATGCAAGCACCACGCACTCGATGATCACGCCACACTTCCTGATCAAGACCTGCCTTAACCCAATCTGCTACTTTGGACTGATTGGAGGCAGTCTGCCCTTGACTTTTTTTATGGCCCTTACCTCGGCCAACTGCCTTAGTCTTTACTACTGCGGCGAGGGTGCTACCCTCAACGATTTCCTCGCCGTCGTACTCTGAACTGTCCATCAAGTCAGAAAGCTCATCGATCTCGGTTTGGGTCCTATCAGACTCAACCATTATCAATCGACTCTCTTTCTTCTTCCACTCCTGTGGACTCTTCTTCTTCCTCCCGTCTACTGGAGTAGGTTGAGCACTTCCTAGGGTAGCCTCCAAATCTAAGGCCTTTCTAGAGAAGGTCTCAAAGGAATGATACTCAAGGTGAGCCTCGCTGGCCAGTAAGGTCCTGAGATTCTCAGGCAGACATCTTAGAAACATGGTCAACAAGACCTGGTCATCATAGCATATACCGGGCACGACGATGAGGTTCTCTACAGTAGACGTTAGCTCTCTGACAGACTTGTACCTACTCTGGTCCAGTCTCAACATCGCGTCAGTGGCAATTTGTGCCTGCTGCGGATTATGCCAGCGAGCTTCTACCATGTCCAAGAACTCCTCTAAAGTGAGGGTTTTACCCCAATCTGCCATGCGTCGTCCGAACCCGGCCTTCGCGACTATCCCATCCAGCCATTTGGCTGCCTTACCCTCAAGGTAAGACGCAACAGTAATCACCTCCTCCTCCTGCAACATCCTCTTTGCCTTTACCCACATTGGAACTGTTCTCAACCAAGTGTTGAGTTCCTCGTCCTTCTTCTCACCGGAGAAGGCAAGGGACGGTTTCATTGGGGTCTTTGGGTACCATGGACGTTGTTGATGTCCCTGTGGTGGAACAGTTTGTTGCGGCTGTGGTATAGTTTCAGCCGCTGGAACAGAAGAAGAAGAAGCAAAAGTCTGTGCGGCTACTGCAGACATACCACTTGGCTGTGTGTCAGCTTGTACCGGAAAAGGGCTTAACATCGCCGTTAACGACAATGACGACTGTACTGCTGGCCGTAATCCTGGCCTTTGCAAAAGGTCCAAGATTTGGTCCAAGGAGTTCTGCATGAAATCCAGTCTGGTGTCCACATGAGCATGCAATGACAGTATGCTGGACTTAAACACTTTCATTTCGTCAGACATTGCTGACTCATCTAACTCCTCTAATGCAGCTTTGTCCGCCTCTAACGTATCCAGCCTGTCTGTTCTATTTTTTATCTCTCTTTCTCTATCGGTGGCTTGCTTCAGTTCCCTCTCTAACCGAGTGCGGATCCTTTCGACTTGTTGGAGCTCTAGTAACTCCCTGCCGCCTGGGGTCAACGGACTGAACTGCAAGCCCGCCATTTGACTTGTGAACTGACTGGAACCTACCGATCCCGAAGTACCCGTGGGCGCAGGGGGCATTCCCAAGTGGGTCCCAGACAAGGACGCAACAGAGGATGCTGCCATGGCAGCCATTGCTGTTGCGCTGGCTGCTGCTGCTGCCCGTTCCCTAGCTGCGGCGTTTGCTGCTGCCAACGCCTGACTTGCAGCTAGTGTTGTTTCCCTCGCTGCTGCGTAAGCACGGGCTCTAGCTTCGGCACGAAGCCGTCTTTCGTCCCCCGGCCGTAGGGCCTGATACACGTGCGGGACCCTAAGTGATCTCGAACGTGTCAGCCTCGCATCGTCAACTCTACCCTCATCGGCGTCTGACCCACTCATCTGTTAGGCAAACACTATATGCACTACAACTCCCTGCTGGAGTCCTACCACAGCATGTGTCTGACCGACACCTAATTTTCTTAAAATAAATGTGTCCGGCAGGTCCCCTACTCAACCGATCAAGTGGCAGCCTACAACATTTTCAAAGACTGTAAACATAATTTAGTTATATCAAGATTAGTTCACTTACAGAAGCTTTGCATAGAACTGGCTATGGTAGTATACAACAATCCTAAACTAAGCTGTCTGTGAGGTGTTAGCAGTCTGTCAACCAACTAATCAATAACAAAACTAAGCTATGTTGCAGGTGTATGAACAGTGGACATGGTTATGTTAACAGTTGAGCACCAATTGGAACCTACCCTCCCCTCAATCCAACATACCGATGAGCATCATTGAGCAGCAATGTCATAGGTGTGCAATGTCGGTCCACCCTTGTGCCCCAGATGCATGCTTATGACCAGGCTTGCCCTTTCTTTATCCTCGCGTGCAACAGAGCTGGGCACCGGGCGCCCAGAGCCGCACCCACCTGCACCCACCCGACCCACAAGGTGATGGGTCGGATTTAGGTCTACATGAGTTGTCTTGGGTGGGTTATGGGCGGGCGCAGCCAGCATGCCTTTCTGGGTGACGAACGGGTGAAGATTTGACCTGGGTCACCCGCTAGGTGGGTGGAAGGCGGGTGATGGCTTGGCCTGGGTCACCCGACCCATAGACCCAAGATGACCCGAAAATTATGCACCCCCCCCGCCCCCCCCCACCCCCCCTTGTGTAGTACGCCGGGCTTAAGGCTGCCCCTGGGCAAAAAAAAAAGTCTTGAAATATTTTCCTTTGAGAAGTTCGAGTCTCATTGTTGATGTTGCCGTTGTTTTAATAATAGGATTTTATATGTCTTTGTTGCAATTGTATGTTCCCGATGTTAGGGTTATAAGAGCAGCAGGTTAATCCTCCCCTGGTATGGGGGAGTGATCAATGCCTCTTCTGCGTAAACGATATACACGGTCATGATCGGTTTATATTGGGATGACCGCGTGGCCTATCTACATGTTTCCATTTCATCATATCATTCTACAGGGACGCTGGAACCGATTTCCAGCAGGTGCTGCTCCCCACCAATAGATGGAGCCTTCGCTGCAGGGGTCACTTGATGAGGATGCTCTTATCACCTCGCCAAGTGGACTTCCTGCCCTTGAAGTTTGCAATAAATAAATAAATAAATCATGATGGGCAGGCGCGGGCTGATGCGGCTGGGTGTGGGTGAAGAAAATTTATGTATTGGACGCGGGCGGGTGATGATACTCTTACGGGTGCGGGCGGGTGTGGGTGAGGGCTTTTTTCGGGTCATGGGCGGATCAGGCGTGGGGCTGAAATTTCGAAAAATATTTTGGGTGGGTGGGGTCGTCTAAAAGTAGAAAATAAAATTCTTGGGCTGGGTGGATGGGGAAAAAAACATTTTGGGCGGGTTGGGTCAAGGGTGGGGAAAATAAAAAATTGCCCACCTCTGGCGTGCAACGAGCCGTACGTCCGACTGATCTGGCTGATCAAGAGGCCTATTTAAGGACTTCCCCCAAGGTTGCTCATGAATTATTTAACGTCGCAATCAGGACGATGATCACAGCCAGTGGACAGATCGGATCCCCATCCAGAAATGTTTATAGACGGTCTGGGAGCGTCTGCGTAAGCCTGTTCAGTCCGCACACCCCTCTATCAGCGCAGCAAAGAGCCCCAATGGACAAAGCAGCCATCGCATGCGTGTACTAATCCCATTGGGTTGGCATGGTGACCGTGACCCATGTGCTTCGACCAGGGCCCTTCAGAGGCACTGCCCTTTCTCCTTTCATATGCGCCACCGGGAAGATTGTCGTCTCTCAAGGTTGCGCGCTCACGACACCTCACCGAAAGAGAGGACTCTCAAGTTGGACTCACTTCCTCGCGGTAAGAAGAGATTGAGAGGGTAGATAAGGTAAGGGAACAACGTAACTGGAGATAGCTGCCCCTGACCACAGATTTCTCACCAATTGAGCCGAATGCGCATTTGATGACCGGTCGTAGCCTCGGTACCACCCACAATGTAATGCAGTGCCACCTCAGCCAAATGCCACATCAGCATGCTCTCATCACCATACATACATTCTGTCGTCACCACGACATACCAAGCCGTATAGCCTTCCGGCGCACACCTCTCTACCTAGGTCCTGCGCCTATTTTCGGCCCGACGTCACAAAAACCAACTGTGAAGAAGCATCGTCAACGCACCAAGTCTGTATAACGCCAGCGCACCAAGGCAAGCGGCGAATCAAACCAGCTCCGATACCTAATTGCAAGGAACATGAATGTGGACTTCCTTTTTTTTTTTTTTTTTTTTTTTTTTT